TTCCAACCCCGGACATTCTGTGATTCTGTGAGTCTGTGATCCGCGCAGAGGCCGGGGAGCGCTGTCACCTTGCCACGGAGCTTTGCTTTAACTCTCTCTCCGTGTGCCAGGTACGTGGATTACCCCATCTACGACGTGCTGCAGATGGTCGGCCACGCCAACCGCCCGCTGCAGGACGACGAGGGCCGCTGCGTCATCATGTGCCAGGGCTCCAAGAAGGTGGGTGAGGAGCGAGACGGCCACCTGAGGCCCTGAATTGCTTCTCCCTTCCTCAGAGCCCTGCAGGTGCTCCAGGATTTTGGAGGTGCTGGGATTTATGTCCTCCTCCTCTCTTGTAGGATTTCTTCAAGAAGTTCCTCTACGAGCCCCTGCCGGTGGAGTCCCACTTGGACCACTGCATGCACGATCACTTTAATGCCGAGATTGTCACCAAGACCATCGAAAACAAGCAGGACGCGGTGGACTACCTCACCTGGACGTTCCTCTATCGCAGGATGACACAGAATCCAAACTACTACAACCTGCAAGGTGAGCAGAGGGCTCTGTACAGGGTTGGAGGATATTAGAGACTGTTTTCCTGTCAGGGGAGGGGGAAAAAAAAGCAGATTTTCTCCATCCCGGGGAGTTTCTGACACCGCTGTGCCCGCAGGCGTGTCACACAGGCACCTCTCGGATCACCTCTCCGAGCTGGTGGAACAGACTCTCAGTGACTTGGAGCAATCCAAGTGCATCAGCATCGAGGACGAGATGGATGTGGCTCCTCTCAACCTGGGCATGATCGCTGCCTACTACTACATCAACTACACCACCATCGGTGAGGGCTCCCCGAGGGACCGTGCCGCGGGTGACGGAGAGACAGGTGCCGCGTTGTCTGGTTTTTCCCTGACCCCTCTCTCCGCCTTCCCCAGAGCTCTTCAGCATGTCCCTCAACGCCAAGACCAAGGTGCGAGGGCTCATCGAGATCATCTCCAACGCTGCCGAGTACGAGAACATCCCCATCAGGCACCACGAGGACAACCTGCTGCGACAGGTGAGGGGTGGAGGGGACAGAAAGAAGCTGTTTTTTCAGCGTTAAAACCACTGATGGATTTACCGTTTCTCCCCGTAGCTGGCCCAAAAAGTTCCCCACAAGCTGACCAACCCCAAATTCAACGATCCCCACGTCAAGACCAACCTCCTGCTGCAGGCTCACTTGTCGCGCATGCAGCTGAGCGCCGAGCTGCAGTCGGACACCGAGGAAATCCTCAGCAAGGTACGACGGGCTGGAGCGGGGAGAAGCTGCCTGCGTCCCCGCG